GATCAGTAGTATAGTACAGGGTCAACAACGAATAGTTAGGAAAGAAAAGAGAACCCCCCTCCAAGCTGTAACATCTAATCTATATCTAATTGTTATCTGATAAGATAAGATAGGCATCCGCTTATTCTGGAATATTTATTCAGAAAACTGTGACAACACGCTAGGTATTCTTAGATAGCCAATAGCGTATTGTGAGCATCAGTCATCCTAAGTGTTAGGTGTACTACCAGTAGTATTTGGGGTCTGGTCCCACATGTATAAATACCAGATAATACAGCATAGTACAGCAGTCTGATCTTATTAGATCATACTTTGTCTACTTCACTCAACTCTTCCTCTAAGCTAACCGCTCTCAAGACAAGTCAAGCCTCTTACCTCTTGCAACTACCAGAACCACACAAGTGAGTGCTGGGGTTAGAGTTAGGGTTAGGGTCAAGGGTGATATCTTGACAGTATTCTCCTGAGATTCATAGATATCAGACCCAAAGATGTGATGTGCTGGATAGCTAGGGTGATTTGGTGCCTGTCAAAGTATTGTCCTGATACTTGACACTCTCTCTAACCCTAACCCCTAGATACTCACTTGTAGTGGTAGGTAGTTGATATAGCTGGGTTGCTGGTTGGCTATAGGAGCTGGTGGGCTCAGAGTTGAGAGTGTGTAAGTTGATGAGGTTAGACAAGTAGTATAACTAGTCTACCCTCTCAATGCTGTATTGCTCTGGTATTTATACAAGAGGGACCAGACCCCTAATACTACTGGTAGTACACCTAACACCTTAGGATGACTGATGCTCATAATACACTATTGGCTATCTAAGAATACCTAGCACGTGAACCATCACCATGTATTCGGTCAGCAGTCTACTATGTGATGATCACCTGAATGACTGTGTGTGTCTCTAGTACAAATGGGGAAAATCTTGTGTGAACATATGATAGCCCATTTGCCCTGCTTCTGATAAGCTAGACACCTGACTAGTAACAGTGATGCCATGCATTATGCTATCCTTATCTCTGTAGATATCTAATTGGATAAGATATAGATCATCTAGATGCTAAAGATAAGATAGATGCCATGAAATTCTGTGACAGTGCCAGAGATAATGTGAAACTATATCTGGACAGGCTTCAATCTTCAATCCAGCACAAATCAACCAGTAGACCCACACACTCAAGACATTCTTTAGCACCAGCAGACTCTAGCTCACCTCTATATATCATGAGATGACAATCTTGAGATGAGATTTGACTAATGATATAGAAGAAAAGAGGCACTTTGTCTACCTCAATTCTCGATACAGGCACCATTCAGGGAGTGTCAAGGGGAATTGCACAGACCTGGCAACACAGTGCATCAGCACCTCTGGCAGTAATAGTGAAGGTCTAATTCAGGACATCTAAGTGATAGATGACCTCAAGTGGAAGTAAGCTATGGAGGTACATTGCATGCAATTCCCATCAGGAGACAGGCATGGTGACAGAGCAAATGAGAGCCTTAAAATAGGAGGTGAACAAAGCAATACCCTAACTTCAACCACTATAGCTAGGTGTCTTTGACGTGTGGCTGGGTGCTCGAATTCATCAGTAGCAACATGTAATATACATAAAATAGAAAGAGACAGACTGTCAAAACAGGTGCGCCATGCTCTGCACCGTACCTTTGAAATGGAGGGAGTCCGCCCGCTAAGTTCGCGGTCGTATGGCGGGGCGTGCGGAGGAATGTCCTGGGTCGCGAATTCAGGCCATCATGAGACTCTCCTGGGCCACTTCCGGCCCGCCTGCGGCGAGCAACCTCCTTGGAATGACCAATTTGCCCGCTGGGTGACATGTGCCACGCGATAGAACCCATCATATATTCTTATCATTTATCTTGATGCCAGACTCTAGTTTCTTTTTCCCCCAGGCTGCTCCTCGACAAATATTGTCGAACTTGAAAGCTGCCATTTCATATTTGACTAGCGGAGATGGATAAGATCCGCAGAGGCAACAACGATCATGCATTAGCCACAGTTTGAAATGATCGAACAGGGTCGTTCACAGGTTGTACCTATGTTGCACTTGGGTAATCAGTACTCAACGTTCGCTCGTCCTCCTGTTCCTACATTCGACCTCTGACAAACACTGTCTTCTGGACCTCTAATAGTACCACGCCCACGGTTGGTTATATTGTCTCACACGTCTCACCACAACATGTACATACAAGTGTCACTTCGAAACTCAATCATGCCCCTGGCATGCGCCTCGCTATTTAATCCAGTGTGTTTTCGACATCAATATGTCACGCCATGAAGGTTTCTTCTCTACTCTCTCTTCTCGCCATTTCTGCACTTCAGCTGCTGTCAGCTGTAGCACAGTCCAATGTCACAGTTCTCGCAAAGGATCCGCAAATTGTGTATGCGGGCGGTTGGACAAACCAAGAGAATGGTCAATACTTCTACGCTAACGGACCTGGGTCGTCATTTTCTTTCTCGTTTACAGGTAAGTATAGATTTACATCACGTATATACCATTTTAACTAGGATCGAGTACAGGGACAGCAGTCTATTATCATTCTGTGATAAATCCGAACGGAGGAGTAGCAAGCATTGTCCTGAATAATGGCTCTCCGACCCTTGTAGATGAATCAGAAAATGCTTACGAAGGCGAAGCTCCTATACCGGCTGTACTTTGGTCGAAGACCGATCTGGATGGTGAAAAAAACCATGTACTGAATGTAAGCTATGTAGGCAGTGGAGTATTAGGTGGTGCCTATGTTGAGTTCTATTATCTTCAGTATGTATGTGCTCGGAATAGTGTCTATTGTATCAACATTTACGATACCCATCCAGATATACAAGCTCGGGTAGCCAGACAAATGAAACCGGAAGTGCAGGTCCGATCTCAGGTATTGTTTTTTTGCGGTCCGCATCAGATATTCCTGTTAACACCGCAAGAGGTCAGTAAGTCCTAGCGGAGCTCAAGACTCGCCTTCGATGAGCGGAACATCCAACGGTGGTGCACCTACCGCCTCACTTAAATCTTCAGCGAGCGCTGCCTCATCCTCTCACTTTTCAAATACAAGGGCTATTATCATTGGTACTGTGGCTGGAGTGGGAGGCACCCTGATCGTTGCAAGTGCGATCATGTTATTCTTGTGTCGTAAAGGCTGTAGATGGACTGCAAAGATCAATCATACGCGTAAGTTTTAAGCCTACTCCATGCACCTCCATTAGATCCATCTCAACCTGCTTTTACAGCATCACCTTACAATATGAGCACTGTCGAGACTCTGCGACCCCTACGCAGGAAGACACCCGCAATGTCTTCCCTTCCGCCGAATGTCGATCAGCCATCCGCTCCCAACTCATCTCGTCCTGACACACCTAGCGAGCTCCTCACCCCGGCTAATGAAGACGGGCTGACGCCAGAAACACTCCCGTATTCTTCTTATAACGCGAGAGTGATTAAGATGATGCATATTTTGGGATCGTCTCGTTCCACTAGTCCACCAAATGAGCACCACATTACTCCTGGGCCTAGTGCTCTTCCGAGTCATAGTCAGCCTCGTCAGGTGTCCTTGGTTGGTTCTGATAGTTTAACTTACTTATCTGATCCACCGCCTGTGTATGATGGACGTAGGACAGCGTAGCGGTAGTCGGTCTCGTCACGGTATGAGCAATATACTAGAACAATATACTAGTAGCTCTCCCAAATTCCATTTAGTATACATCCACTCACAATCGACTTCAATTGGATTCTAACCATCGCCACGAGCTAATTCTTGTATTACATGACTTGACACCGAGGAAAAGGTATGCTATAATCGTTCTCTAGTGTTCGAACCCACTTATTAGAGCTGTCAAGCTTGAGTATGCGGCCAATGCATGGACGAATCGAATCGAGTCGTCTCACCGGTGCTGGGTTCCCCGCGCCACGTAATCCATGCAAGGAACTCCTAGTAAAAACAGCGCGAAGGTAAATTATTAGTACGTGCGTAAGTAGGAGTAAGTACAGGCGCAATAGGTTCCAACCTCTGCGCGCTGCTTAAACTGAAGGTGTAGCAAGTGGAGCAGGTACCAACAATTGTCGGCCCCCTCAAACAGATTTTCATTCCCGTCGTGGCAACTGAGAGTGGACCAACAGCCTCGAGCGAGAAGAGCTACAACACAGACATAATACACTATAAATACAATCGGGTTAAAAAGAAAAGGGGGGATGAGGAGGGTGGGCAACGGAAAAATAACAACGGATTCAAATCTGGTCGTACAACTGCGTGAGGAATGAGTCCGAACAGGAGATGGCGAACCCGAACTCACTTGTGCTATATCAGCGGCGATATTGGCGACGCCGGCGAACGACGCTGATAGCAGCTGATGACTTACCGTACAACTCCTCATAGGTCACGACGCAGGCAAGGGATCTTGGAAACTTGCGCTTTCCGCGCAGCTTATCAACAAAGGATTTCAATCTAGTTCTTCAGCAAGAGTTGGAGTTCTCAATACTAGTACTAGCTCTCCTAAATTCATATTAGTTGGTATACATCCACTGACAATCATTTGAGATTGTATTTTAATGACCACCACTGGCTATTTCTTGTATTCCATGACATGGCTGTGATGTCGTTCAACCTGAGAAGTTCAGACATAAGTATCCCTCTACAGGTATTCGGGAACTGGTCCGATTCAACAGACCGGTAAGATCGCGATTTGCGGGGCGGCGGGCGCCAGGTTTATTCCCGAGGGGCTCGGGCTTGCTGTATCAGGCGATGCGGCGTCGGTACGCGTCCCTGCGGCTTTGGTCACGCCGTCGACGTCGACAGCTCCAACGACGAGCGCGCTCGAATGGCTTCTATCTGCTTGCTCTCCCCATGTTCCTAGCCTTGGGCATCGTATCCTAGACGTTCAGCGGTATATCCTTTCTTATAGATTTCGGCTCCACGGCTCCTGTTCCACCTTCTCTCAGAGTCCCGGTCTTTCGCATGTCGTTCTTATGTTCTCGACTCGTTCGGTCACACACGATTGCTTTTGCAACACGGACACACATCCCACATCAGAGACACTTTTCCTCCGTGAAAGCTTTCCCCACTGAACCCACGCCTCCTTCGCGTCCATGGAAGTATACCCGTCGTGCTGTTTATGCCGCCCTCGGTATCGGGGCATTCTGGATAGTTGATAGAGAATACATTGGGTCCGCGATCACACGCAACATGCGCACGTTCTGGACGGTGCGTGTCATATCTTCCTGGTCTTGCGCGTTTCTGGCAGTACCTCCTTCCATGGAGTTTGAGTTTCTTATCTTAGGTCTGACTTCGCGTGTCTGATGCGAAGACCCGCTGGTGTACAAAAGCAGATCTAATCGGTTGTGTTCTACAGTGTTCAATGATTGCTCTTGACTACAAGCTTAACTTCAAACCCGAGATGAGCGAGGGCATCCCCGCTCTGCACGAACGAGTTGCGGAGCGTGTCTATGATCTCTTTACATCCAATGGAGGCTTGTATATCAAAATCGGTGCGTTTTATTCTCTATCCTAGAGCATGCCTAGAAAATACAAATGTTTTCTCAGGCCAAGCCTTCGCAAACAATGCCGCTCTCATGCCTCGACCTATGCAGGAGAAATTTTCAAAATTGTTCGATGATGCACCCCAGGTTCCCTATAGCGTCGTCAAGTCCGTGTTTGAGGCTGAGTTTGGAAAGCCTCCTACAGGCCCCGACGGAGTCTTCGAGGAGTTCGAGGAACGTGCAGCTGCCAGTGCGAGTATCGCACAGGTGCATCGCGCCAAACTAAGGACCAGAACTGAGGACGGACGTGACCAATGGGTTGCGGTGAAGATCCAGAAACCCGACGTTAGCAAGCAGGTCGAGTGGGATCTAGGAGCTTTCAGGATCGTGATGTGGATTTACGAGAAGTACCTCTTTGACATGCCTGTGTATTTTGTTGTTGGTGCGTGTGTCTTGATTTTCTCCAGGTTCGTGCATTGACATTGTCCAGACTTCATCTCGGACCACTTGCGAAGAGAGCTTGACTTCAAGCTGGAGATGGCCAACGCAGAGAAAACGGCTGAATTCGTTGCTGCCGAGCCGCGCTTGGCGGAGAAGGTTTACATCCCCAAGGTATTCCCCGAGCTGTCAACAAAGAAAGTCATGGTGGCCGAATGGATCGACGGAGTACGTCTGAGCGACCGCAAAGGTATCCGGCAACTCATGGGTGAAGAAGACTACCCACAACAGTCTTCGTCCTCTCCCACACCCGTCAAGCTTAAGGGTGGCGTTGAGAGCATCATGCGAACGATGGTCGAGCTTTTCAGCGCGCAGATTTTCGACTGGGGCTGGGTGCATTGCGATCCGCACCCGGGGAACATCATCATCCGGCCGCATCCGCGACACCCGACGACACCGCAGTTTGTGCTGCTTGACCACGGACTGTACGTACGCGTTACAGCAGACTTTCAGCAGCAGTATGCAACGCTTTGGAAGGGCCTGATGACGCTCGATCGCGGTGTCGTTGCGGGCGTTGCGGGCGAGTGGGGCATCGGTGCGCCGGATCTTTTCGCAAGCGCAACGCTCATGCGACCGGTGAAGTTTGGGGGGGCGCAGGAGAACTTTGAGGAGATGACGGAGTACGAACGGAGCGTGCGCATGAAGGAGACGCTGCGGACATTTCTGACGGACACAGACAAGATCCCGAAACCACTCATCTTCATTGGGCGAAATATGAGGTCAGTCACGCGCTTCACTTGGTTTGAGGACATCGACGCTCATGCCGCTATGCGCAGGATTGTGCAGGGTGATTTGATTCTGTATGATTTCACTTGTTCCGACTGCTGACGTCTGAGTACAGGTAACAACCAATCCTTTGGGTCTCCTGTAAACCGGATCCAAATCACGGGCTACTGGGCCTCTCGTTCACTCACTGTCGCACCCGGGCTTACGATTATAGAGCGTTTGAAGGAGTATCGGAGCTACATCGTCTTCCTTGTTGTCACGTTCTCCATCGATGTTGCTTTCTGGGTGAGCAAAATGCGCCAATGGGCACGCCTGTGGATGGGCCTGAAGAGCGAAGGCTTCGAGGACGAGCTTGAACGGACTATGCGGGGATTTGCGAAGAGTAATTTTGGACTAGACATAACTTCGGAGGCCTTCCAGGGCTGATTAATACATTACGTTTGGGATACGATACACAAGTCTGCTACTTGCGAGAACAAGATCGCGAAGCTGACGCTGGATATGCGCTGGCACCGGGTGTGTAGTCATTGACACTGTTTGTGGTCTTACTATGCCTTTCAGCTGGTCACGTCAGTTTGGATGGTCAGATCAGTCTCGCACGATTTCAGACTGCACGGCTGCTAGTATCTGCCTTCAGTTTCTCTACAAAACTTCGACATCACAATTGTCGTGGAGCAAGGATTCATGTAGGCGTTATTCCTCGCGCGTTCAACAAAGATATGCAGCTCTGGCCCCCTGGCGTAAGCTCTCCAACCATTCACTCAAGTTCGTCAATCGAAGGAAAGTCCGCCATCAATGTTGATTGATTGGCCTATGTTCCCATCAACGGGCGAATTGGAAAATGTGCACTTAGCCAAATGCCTCAAGGAGGATGTCTGTACGTACCGGTGATGTGATGAGTTTCAGGTCTTGCGATGTACGAGACAAAATCGGCAATGATGACTGGCTCTGCATCGGGGATGTCGAGGGGAAGGCCTGCGAGCTGTACAATCCCATAGCGATGTAAGTCCATGCAGTGGTTCCTCGTCCCGATATCTCACCTTCTTGGCAGTGGACGCCGGTCCCCCGTTTATGGCGTCGTCGGGATGGAGAACTATCAGATAATTAGGACACCGGCATGATACCCATGTTTAAGGAGGAGACCCACTCAGGGGAGTAATGATGCTCCCCGGTGCGTAGCTGTTCACGGTGATGTTGTGCTTTCTCCACTCCAATGCTGTCGGACTGCGTCAGTGTTCTTGCTAGATGATTAGGTGTGCATAACCCACCACAGCTCTGAGTAAATCCTCTCACTGCAAACTTACTTGCGCTATATGCCGCCATATTGGCGACGCCTGCCACGAGTGGTCATCACTACCACCAGATATCCATTGTGAGCTATTTTTGTGCGTACCCTTTTTTCCAGCACCAGAGCAGGCACCTATATATAATATTTAGCAACGATCATATACAGACAACGCAGGCGGATGCGTGCTATGGCTTGATTACCTATGATCCTGCCACCACGCCCCTGCTTGATCATCTGCAATGCCGCATACTTATAACACAACATGACTCCGCGCATATTGACTGCAACAAGTCGATCAAGATCGTCTACGGTGGCTGTCCTGGCACGTCAAAATCTCGATCGACAGATAACAAGCATTACACACTTTCTAGCATAGGCTTGAACAGCGCTATTCCAGCATTTGCGACCATCTAAGATTCTATGTCAAGTGTGTGCCAGCAGGATTGTGTTTGTGCGTACCACGTCAAGGCCTCCGAGTTCCTTCACCGTCCGATCAACTATAGCCTCCACATCCGACTCTAGAGAAACATCTCCCGTGATGGCAACGGCCCGTCTCCCCTTGGCTGTGATCTGTTCTACGAGGGCCACTAATTGCTCCTCCTTTGAGAATATATCGTTAATGGCAATATCGAGGCCATCGTCAGCGAGGCGTAAGGCAACAGCCTCTCCAATACCCTGTGCAGCTCCTGTCACAATAGCAATGCGCGTTAAGGACATGGGTTGTGAAGCGGTCAAGAGAAAGAGAGTGGACAAACCCTCAGACTGACAGGAGCGATGAGAAATGCAAGGCAGGCGATTGAATGGCACGTAAAAGCCTGACGGGATCAGCGTGTGGTACGAGCCGTACGGCACCAGACGCTGCTTAGCGGCCTCGTTTCTTTTTGTCTCCATTCATTATCCCCGAGGGTCGAGCCCTGTATAGACAGTAAGTGCATGATATGCGAACGCGTGCTTGGGCTAAAGTCGTGGCAGAGGCATCGGGCGGCCTCGTTTCACTAGGCTACTTCTTCACTGATTTGAATGTCACTGGGACCCGCCAGAGGAAGCTGAGGGAAGCCTTTGTTGATGCTTCGGTTTTTTTTTTGTTTTTGGAATAGCCAGCTCACGATATTAGCAGGAGGGGAACTTGAAGCTCATTGGCATCAGTATTCAGTGCCTATTGTCATGATCATTACAGTATCCTCATTGGCAATGGGAGGATGCTCAACGAATGGTTCATAGATGTCAAATGCTCTATATAATCGTTGAGCCATTCGTGAGCCAAGCACACAGCAGCCCATTTTGTAACAACATCCGAGTCGTGGCGCGGAATCTGCATCTCAAAGATAGGTTTTGACGTGGATGAACCTGCGTTTCCGAACCGAACAAGTGCACAGTGCTACCGTTCACCTGTACATTGCACTCTGGCCCTGGATATAGCGAAGAAGAGCAGGATGACAGGTGGGCTGAGCTATAAGATTGGGTCAGGCCTAGCGCTAGCCAGGAACGGACGCGGAGCAGGAAGAGTGGCCCGCGGGCTCACTGCCGCTGCCCGCATGATTTGGTCAGTCAATAGTGTACATGCCTCCTCGAATGCATGGGCAAATAAGCGGTAAGTACGCGCGCAAATGGGGCTAATAGACGAAATTCATTGAAGAACTACTGAATAGTGAACGTCAAGCTAAGGAAAACACCATAGAATTAGGATAAAACTATCAACGAGACAAGGCTACGACTGATGCAGAAGTCAAATATAAGAGGGCACGCGTGGCAGAGCTGAAATCCACGCTCTAGAGTAGCGAGAACAGGTCCCTAACGGCGCCAACATAAAACGAGCGACGAGAGTATTTGCTTACGCCGAGGCCGCTAGTCGTTTCGATCGGGTCTCTCTTCCGCTCGGGCAGCACTCGTCTTTCTTTGAAGGCCACTTGAAGTCAGCCTTCAGGTACGGTTCATATGGAATTTTATGGAAATGTCAAACTCGATCAGAGTACTGATGGCATTGATTGAAATTCGACTGATGCGCCCATATGGTGTGGCCCGACGGCCGTCCGAATACGCGGCTACGCCCACAGGTATCAGCGCTCAAACTGAGCCTAGGCTGGGCTGTGCAGTGAGACATGCCCAGAGATCTGCTATCTATCATCAGGTGGTTCAACGGCTGAAAATCTATCGTAGGACAATTTGCATATAGCATCCGGATTCTCTGCAGCAACTTATCGGCTGAGTTCCAGCCAACGGACTCCGCCCACGAGGAAAGGACGTACTTTGAATTTGAGCCATACCACTATTGGCTGCGACCTCGTTACTACTATTACGAGTCCGCTCAAGCATTTGAAGCCAATAGTGCTTGAAGGGTGTTCACAGTGCTTCCTCTCTGTGATGCCACCGCCTCCTATCACGGGTGAGTGATCACAATATACTCAAAGCTGGCTTAGATGTATTGATGGGGCATTTGCATCAGATGGAAGAGCCCGTAACAGGTGTTTGCATAATCAACTTTGCAGGTACATTGAGTGCAAAGGCTACCGCCATCAACGGGTACCTCGGTGTGTAAGTGTTGCATCAGCCACCACGGTCTTTGATTTCTAGTTGGGTCCTGGTGAGCATCAGAACCCATAGATGCTTTCGCAGCCAAGTGGCAACTACGGCTTATTCAGAGTGGTGGGCTCAGAAATGGGCCCATCGCTTCATGTGCCTGTGACTGCAGCTATAAAGAGTCGGGCATCTTTGCGTCGAGGCTTCAGACAACCTTCGCCCCAGCTTTCCCGTATCTACTCGTGATAATCATCAGCCATGCGTTTCGCTACCGTGTTCGCTGTTCTTGTTCCCCTCTTCTCTGTTGTCGTCTCGGCTCTTCCTGTCCCGGGTAAGTACCTTCCACCGATGTTTGTACTCAATTCTCAAAAAAAAATCATGGCTCCTTCAGAGAATAACAGCGTTGATGTTCTCCGTCGTGAGGGTATGTTGTGTAGTATACACGTCTATATATTACAAGGCAAAGGTGGACTGACCCCGGGATTTTAGAAGCAGTGGACAAATTTGGCGAAGACATCTGTCGCTACAGCTGCATTTGAGGGCCAGTCAGGTCATAGTTCGCAGTACGTATGTCCATCGACAATACTGCCCATCTTCAAGGCTGACTCGTCATCTCAAAGGTGACTGAAGCACTTAGAAGCACGTCTATTCCCTGCCATTTACACGGTATAATTCCCTGACGTGTGCATCAACAGAAATGAAGGCGTCGAAGCATACGTGTGGACTCGGTGGTGGATTACCGTTCGGTAATCGCTGGTCTCGAGCGAAGGTTTTGATGTGGACTATTGGTACGCCCGTATTGGTGGCGTCGGGCGAGCGTTCTCGCGTGTCATTCTTTTCAAACACTCTTTTTCTTTTTATCAATATATATTGAAGAAATGGCAAATGGCTTGGTGCTTATTTAAAAATATCTGCAGCTCTCAATTGGGGAACGACGATTGTCCTTTTGAAAAGCATAGAATGTCCCAGCCTCCGAACCAATTTCAATACTCAGCACTCAGCGTCAACAGCAAGACGCATCGTTTTCAAGTGACAGAACAGCTTCATACGCATCACGATACCAGCAAAGGTTCCCAGATGCGATGTGCGTGTACTAGAAACCACGGCAAACGCGTAGCTTGGCTATAGAGCGTATGCAAGAGTATGGCTTTATCGTGATCTCCGGTGCATGTGTTTGCTTAGAATTGTACGTAGGATTTCGGCGCCCAGTTTGCTAAGAGAGAGAGAGAGAGGACGGCATGGTATGTCGGATTTCAGATTCACGGGGGTAATTCCTCTCAGGGTCCAAGAGTGGCCCAGGTCTTCAGATAGCTGATCAAGATCAAGACGGAGCACTTCCTCAATTTGCGCCGGCCTCGACAATTTTGCGATGACGGGAAAAGACGACGATGACCGCTGGTGTTTCATTCGCCAATTGATGGCTCAGAATTTGACTTCGTATTGGCGGATCTTCCCGGGGCACCGGCTTCCTGGAGACGCATCAAGTGACGGTACTCATTCACGCTCTCTTCAGCGTTCATCTTGACTTCCTGCATAGCAAAGCGAAGGCGATGCTGTAGGTATGGCCATTTCTCCTAGACCAGCGAACTACTGACTTGCCACTACCGCAAGATCTGCACCTGAAGAATAACCCTGGCGTCTGGTGCGAAGGTTATTTTATGTGATTTTAGAACTGAAGAAATGGTTACGAACTTGTGAGAACCTCGTCGTGGTAAAGATACAGCGGGATCGGCGAGGTTTTTAGGAAAGATCTGCACACAAGCGTGCGTGCGTGTCTCCCTGCGGCCGTGGTCGCGGGGATGTGCCGGTAGCAACAAGCAGCTGCCCCAACTCTACCCCATCCGCCTCGATACCACTAATCGCAGCCACAGCCTCACTCAGCACGCTAAAATTATACTTGAAACTGTCGATCCGGGATCCGCGACGACGATCGTCAAAGACTTCGACCGTCTGCGCCAATCAAGACGTCCGCGGCTGGTAATAAGTCGGGAATCAAGCTATGTGGCCTACAGTAGTCTCCGTCATCCCTGCGTCAACTACATGGTTTCCGATACCTGAGCAACTCTATAACTCAGAGATGAACTTCATCCCTACTCGCCTGTTGATTCCATTTCGAAGTTTGCAGCAAAAAAGCTGAAATGTCACCGCTAGTGTTCGAATTGGGCCCCTATGGCGCACACAGCCGCGGATTACGAACCAGCAGAAGACATACGGCCAGACAATGCATTTGTTCAATCATGATGGTACATAGCACAAGCGGTGATAAGAGAGTATGTGCAGTTCAAAAACGCGATGTGCGCAGCAAATTGAAGGTTCTTCGAAGAAACCCTACAGGACAGGATGTGTGCGACGAGTTACAAACAGACATGTACAGGACGACAGCCAGGAGGGAATGCAGTGCGGGAGACAAGCATGCTTAGTCGTACTTGACTTTGGCCACGTCGATATATGCTTCGCCTGGTGCAGCCAGTCAGCCCGCTATACTAGTAAGCTGAAGAGCTGGCTTACCGCGACGGTCGTATTTGACCTTGGCGATGTCGATGTATGGCTCGTCACGGCGGTCATACTTGACTTTGGCAATGTCAATGTAAGGCTCATCGCGACGGTCGTACTTGACCTTGGCAATGTCGGTGTATGCTTCGTCCCGGCGGTCGTACTTGACTTTGGCGATGTCGACGTATGCGTCATCGCGGCGGTCATACTTGACCTTGGCAATGTCGGTGTAGTCTGCGCCAGTTAGGATGGATGAGCGACCTATGCGGGACTGGAGCGACGAGCTCACCAGTGCTGCCAACCACGGGCAGGTCCTTCTCGTATGCGGAGATGTGGGGGTCTAAGATGGCTACGGTTAGCGACGGCGCGTGGAGAGAGAGGATGTGCTTTACAGGAGGTGGGGATAGCGAGAGCCACGAGGGGCAAGAGAGCAGCGAGGGCAAGAGAGAGACGCATGATAGGGGAGAATGGGATGGACGAGGTAGAATCCGAGGGATGCTGGGGAACTAGTAGAGAAAGACATGGTGGGCTTATATACGTCGAGGGCGGTCTGTAAGTTGGCGGGAGGTTGAGAGGCAAGCATGAAAATCAACAACGCACTTGATTACTGACTTGCCTCCCAGTGCGAACTTGTGCGAACCGACGCGTGACGTCACGCGTCCGAATACGGATGCCGCAAACTGTCTTTTTATTATTATTCAACTCCTAGTTTATACTCCGTACCTAGAGATACATGCAGAGTGCTCCGAATCTGGCTACTGGAATGGAATAACACTCGAGCGGTTAGCACTCCTCGCCAACACGAGTGCGGTCCTAGCCGACCCTGGCCTGATGAATTCCATTCGCCCCGTCCAAGAGAGCCAGGAGGCAGAATACCACCCATTCGTTCAAAATACTTCCCTGGCGCACGTCGCAATCAGACTCGCCCAGTCGATTCGCAGCCGCAGCAACGCTCACTCCTCTTTTGATGGAGCCCCTAGTTGGTAAGCGTTGCTTCGGGCCAACATCTCCCTACTTATCGGCGCACACAGACGCCACATTTGATCCAGGCTGATGGGAAATTGAGTGGCCCCCCCTCCTTCGGGTTCCTACACTTTCTGATTTCGGAGATGACCCTCGTTCGTGGGTGCACGTTAGTAAGTGAGTGGTACGAACACTGCTGTAAGGGTCTTATGTGCACGCAAGGCCTAAATTGGCGAGGAATGTCAAGCGTTCAAATGCGCAAATGGTTAGGCTGTCCAGACCGGACGGTCTGCAGGTACCCGAAGTTCCGCCAGCAGGGTCAACTTTGTGGACGAACGAGAACGGTCCGTCTAAACAGTCTCCCGTCTCTATTCTATCTCGCGGTCAGTCCACTCACATCACACCTACACAACATGCCGTCCCCCCCATCCCCACAGTATTCCCCCATCGCACAAGGCGACCCGCACGAGTCCTCCGAGAAGCTCCTCCAGCCAGTCGACGTCGAGGACAATGGTCTCGTTGTACACGACCTCCACCACCCCTCGGCCTGGCGTAGCTCCTGGCCCTGGCTATTCCATGCCTTCCTGCTCGTTCTCAATCTCTCCATTCTTGTCTCCCTTCTCGTTCGTTCTCACCTCCCCGAACGCGCCGACTGGGACGATCTCCTCAACGCCCACTGTGCGTCTCCTTGCACGCGCACGCTCTCTCGCTGACCCGCCTCTGCAGCACCCGTGTACCCTGCCATCGAATACAACCTCGTACGCTTCAACGGCACCATCGGCTTCCGCTCTCCTTACGTCGGCATCGGTTCCACCGTCGATGCTGCCTGGGGAGAAATCACCGACCATAGTGGCTGTGCGTGACCGTCCTTGTCGTTTCTACACTCGCTGATCTGTCCACAGCGCTCCCGATCCGCATCCCCGACGAGTATCTGGCTCGCATTGGCCTCGACGATGCCCGTCGCCCATCCAACGTCCGCTTCCTCCCAGACGACGGCGG